AATTTAAATAATTTAAAAAAGATTATTTTTTTTATGTATTTTTATGTTATAACTTATTTATAATTTGAGTAATGTTCATAATTAATATGTAAAACATAGGTTGTTGTGTTTAAAAAATTACAAAAAAAATTTTTTATTTATTCTATACAATGTGTTGATTAAAATTGTTTAAATTAAAAAAATTTCTTAAGTTAACTAATAAGTGAGACAGTATAACATTTATGAGCGAAAGGTACCATGACAAAATCCGGTCATTCTTGTATTCCTCTTATACCTCATATCGCCACTACCTGTTACACATAATTTAACCGATAGTAACGCGCAACAGCGGATTAGTAGGCAAATATATGTCTGTTTATAAAAGTATTTGCTCATAAGGGGGATATGATCGTTCAGGCAGCAGTGTAGAGCTCGGTCTGCATGTGCAAAACGGTACCTTTCTCTTGTGAGACAGACAATATAATTGTAYATTTTTAGTTAAACAGTGAAGTAACTTATTTTTCTCTCTACTATAGGTTTTATGGTAAATATTTCAATGTTATAGATTTGCTAAAATGTCATGTTGATCAATTAAAAATAGTATTTATAGATTTACATATATTTTGTGAAATTCACTAGTATTAAAATTATTGTATATAATATGTAATATTAATTTTTTTTTTTTTGTATTTGATGGCTTAGATTCAAGAAACAAGTTTTTTCTTAGAAGATTTTAGAATTGAATGTGTTGATGGCTACCAAGGAGAAGAAAATGATATTGTTCTGTTGTCTTTAGTACGCAGTAACATTGATAATAAAATTGGGTTTTTACACATTCAAAATCGCATTTGTGTTGCTTTATCTAGAGCTAGAGATGGATTATATATCATGGGAAATATGGATAATCTTATACATTCATCGATATGGAAAAAAATTAGCCAAATACTAGTTGATCAACAAGCTCTTGGTAGGAAACAAAACTAATATTAAGTAAGTCTTTTTATATTTTGAATAATGCGACAAAAATTTATTTTTAGGCAATAAATTGACTTTACATTGTCAAATCCATAAGGATTATATTAACACAGTTTGTGATGGTAGTGATTTCGCTAAAGTTGGGTGTTCAAAAGTATGCAACATTAAAATGGATTGTGGTCATCGATGTCCACATTTTTGTCATTATCGTGATCAATCTCATAAAACCTTATATTGTTGTAAAAAGGATTTTACAAAGTAATTTAAAATTGGAATGGAAAACATTTAAAATTATTAACTATTTATTAATTTTTTAGGATATTACCCTGTGGTTTCAAAATAAAAATGCAATGCTGGATGAGATTTTTAACTTTTGAATGTCCTCTATAAGGTACACTTATATATTTTTTAAATTTATTTTTTTT